TATATTCTAAAGAATAAGCATAAATAAAACAAAATATGCAGAGGATTACTCGTAATTATGTATTACTAAACATATACGTCGATTCATCATTTTAATGAGATAGTAATGTTTGTATGTACATTAATTGATATAATCGTATGCACATTTATTTCGTAATATGGATGGAAGGATGTGTTTGATTCAAAACGTACATGACAAACATATATATGTGTTATATCATGCAAATATATAGGCAATGTTATCTCGAAAGCATATATAAATAAATGAAAAGGGTTATATTAATTAAATGTGATTTTTGCTGCATAAATAAAAGAAAAACAGAAAACAGAATTAAATAAAAAGTATTGTTTTAGAATATTCTATCGGGTCAAACCCACTTGCATCGGGTAAAACCGCTTTAATACAAAACATAGTTTAAAAAATTATGCAGTGGCATTGTTCTGTAAATATTGTTGAAACAGAAGGGCGCCTGAAAAAAGGGTCTTCTGTTTTAATAGTATAGATTTAAATATTAAAATTAACAATCATAGGGCCCAAGAAATATTTTTGTCCAAAGGCGCACACTGGTATTGAGCAAACATATGATAAGCTCTCATGTCGAAAATTATGTCCAGTAATGAACATGTAAATCGCATAGTGTGTTCTCTAATATCTATCATTCCTACTTTAACCAAAAAACAAAAAAAAATCTATCATTCGTACAGTGGCGGAGTCAAGAAAAAAATGGACATGAATCATCATTTTTTTTATTTGTAAAAATGCATAAAATATTTTTTTTTCATATATTTTATTGGACTAATAATTTATTATCTCTAATTTTCATATATTTTATTGGGTTTGTAAATTTTTATAGTATGCGTTTCGATTGAATGAATTGAGTTAGATTAATGTGGATCAATAATAATAATGGACTAGAGTCAACTTAGAAAATTTTATAAATACTACATTATTTTTCTAAATTTTATATGCGTCACTTGATCACTATGGAGTTGTTTACATAAAAGGCCACAATATGACTTTGTCTTTCATCCAAAGACACATTGAACATTTGAGACACTTTTTTTTGGCAGTTTCTGAGTGTAATGACATTGATATCCTTTTACTGGTGTTCGGTTAAATTGGATTTCAGAAAAAGGAAACCAGTTTGGTTTCATAATTTCATCAACTACTTTTTGATAATCAGAATAACTTTCAAACAAAAAAAAAAATTAGATTCTATAACAATCTGAAAATATCATAACATAAGAGAATAAAAAGTGAAGATGTTTCTGAAAAAATGAATTTATAGAATCATGTGAAGCCATAAACACTCTGTTTTACATATACCAAAACAGAGTATGAAAAAGAACTAAATGTTATCATGATGATTTTATTGTCATGATCTTGCGTTAACTTTCACAGCTTCCGAGTGAACCTTCACCGTCCACAGTATACTCTCTTGTAATGAATCATCTCTACAGACCTCTCATCCACAACATAAACATAAGTATCCCCACTGTTATATCTTCCGTACACAAATCTCCTGTCCACAAATCCTCTTATCATATCTCATCCATCCACAGCTCCTATTTTCACATTTCATTCATCCATAATTCCTCTGTCCACATGGGAACTCCTCTTTTCATACCTTGTCCATCCATAACTCCCTTGTCCACAGCCATGACAAAACTCTTTTCACACCTCATCCATCCATAAATACAGATCCGGATAATACAAGAGGAGAGAAGACGGATTAATGGCATGGCACAGAGCTCCGGTGAACCAGAGGGCCTCCCCTAGAACATGAAAACCAAGTGAAATCATGGAGGCGAAATCGTAGAGGAGGAACTCGAATAAACCATCTTCTGATGCTTCTTCGAGAGCTATGAACAGACAATTAGTCTAGACAACTACGAAAGTATAACCGTCCGAAAATCAAAACTATGAGCATACAATTAGTCTAGACAAACAAATCTCGCACGTATCCTTATCGAAGAAGGGTTTCTTTTAGAGAAGGTGAAGGATTAGATTTGTTTCGGTGAGGTTGGTTACAAAATGGGTGAAAAGTGAGGTTTCAACAATGGCGGCAGAGAGAACTAGGGTTTAGAAATAGAAAAAAGTAGGTGGGGAAGAATTGGATTGATAGAGTGTTGGTTTGGTTTGGTGTGTTGGTTTGGTTTTAACACTTTCTTTAGATGGAGGGTATAACTGACTTTCATTATCTAAAAAGGTTTGCACATGTCGAAAGTGTCTTATGTTGTATTTCCAAAGACATAAAGTGTCTCAGCCTGTAAAAAATTCATCACTATGCCACTGTTTTGCCTCCTCCGCTGATTCGTATTAAAAAGTTTTTCTAAGAGCACTTTTAACATCACTCTTTAGCTTGTTTCTTTTTTTTTTTTTTTTTTTTTGACAACTTGGTTCTTAGAGAGAATGGAGTCCACAATTCTATTAAAACTAAGTTCTTCCATCTTTAAGAAGCAACTTAACTTGAGTTTTTGTATTATTTATAGGTTTCACGATAGGTGACGAACTGACGATCCCAAATTAAATTATTCTTAGTTTTAGATTAGACCAAAAAGAAATATTAAGGGTCAAATTTGCCTTAGAGGTTAATGGTGCTCTAAGTTTGGTTCAGTCTTTATCTCATTCATAAGACCCATCTGGCATTCATAGGCTATATATTTCCAGCCCAAACATAAAATTCATGGGCTACATATTTTCAGACCAAACATAACAATTCTCACACTGATTTTGTTTCCTTTTTTGAAAACCGTAATCTTTGAAACTCGCAACGCCATACCAACTGTCCAAATCTTAAAGATTGGAAACGTTACGTAAAAAAAAAGGAAGGAAACCAAAAGTTGTGCACATCTCTTACCAAAACTAGTCAACTAATTGACATCTACCTAGAGTGTTTGGCAAATATATCTTTCGTGTAATAACACCATCACACATCACACACGTGTCTCAACCAAACCAACCTCCAATAGTATTAAACACACACACAACGCATACACAAATCTTATCATCCCAAATCAACCAAAACCATGGATTCCGAGATCGCCGTCGACTTCTCTCCCTTGCTCAAAATCTACAAGAGCGGCCGCATCGAGCGTCTCATGGGAGAAACCACCGTCCCCGCCTCTCTAACCCCTCAAAACGGCGTCGTCTCCAAAGACGTCGTTTACTCTCCCGACCACAATCTCTCCGTCCGTGTCTACCTCCCGGAGAAAGCCGCCGAGACCGGTGAGAAACTCCCTCTCCTCGTCTACTTCCACGGCGGAGGCTTCATCATCGAAACCGCTTTCTCACCGACTTACCACACGTTCCTCACGGCGGCTGTCAACGCTTCCAACTGCGTAGCGGTGTCGGTTGATTACCGGCGTGCGCCGGAGCATCCGATACCGATCCCTTTCGAAGACTCGTGGACGTCTCTCAAATGGGTGTTCACCCATATCGCCGGTTGTGGACCGGAGAGTTGGTTGAACCAACACGCCGACTTCACCAAAGTGTTCCTCGCCGGAGACAGCGCCGGCGCCACGATCACTCATCACATGGCGATGAGAGCTGTGAGGGAGAAACTCAGTCCCGAGTTAAGGGACTCAGGAATCTATGGAATCATCTTGGTTCATCCTTACTTCTGGTCCAAGACACCGATAGATGATAAGGAGACGAAGGATGAGACGTTGAGGTCGAAGATCGAGGCGTTTTGGATGATGGCGACTCCGAACAATAAAGAGGGAGTTGATGATCCGTTGATCAACGTGGTTCAGTCAGAGTCGGTGGATATCTCCGGGTTGGGTTGCGGGAAGGTGTTGGTGATGGTGGCTGAGAAAGATGCGTTGGTGAGGCAAGGGTGGGGGTACGTGGCGAAGCTTGAGAAGAGTGGGTGGAAAGGGAGAGTGGAGTTGGTGGAGAGTGAAGGAGAAGACCATGTGTTTCATTTGATGAGACCTGATTGTGAGAAGGCTGTTGAGGCTATGAAGGTATTCGCTGGGTTTCTTAAAGGGTGAGATGTAGTAGCTGTGAGCGTGTGTTTGGTCTCTCTCAGTCTCTGTAATGGGTTTTTTAGTGATTTATCATAATAGTATGAATAACACAAGAGGCATTAATAATGAAGTTACACCATTGTATTGTCTTGAACTTATTTTTATGGGGTTATATGGCTTATATTTGTGTTACAAACTTGCAGTCGAGTTTGTACATAAAGGTTTAACTCAAGTTTTATTAGCCTATTGTTTCAGTTCTGCATCAAGAATTATGAAGCCTCAAAACATAAGCCATGACGTTTAGCTTATTTCCTGATGTCCTCATTGGTTAGAGACGGCCCAATTTTATTGGGAAAATAAAACAGAGGTCGACATACATCTCTGTCTATAAAAAACAGATTTGTCAGACATCATAAGTCATGATGTTTACCTATTTCCATAAATCAGGAAGGGTTGTTTGTTCTTCTTAATAGCATGCCCAATATTATTACAAGGCTTGGACTTGGCCTAGACTATGCTTCTGTGAGAAGACAGAATAGAGAAGAAAATAGCAGATTTCATCAATCTTTCTTGTGTGTTTGCGGTTTACTTTGCAGCTTATTATCATCATGGACTCTAAACTAACTGTGGTTTGTGTTTGAAGGAAAGTGTATCTCTTTCTCTTTTTTTTTTTTGGATTCAACAAAAGTTAGATCCAATCTTGCTACTTTTTGTGGAGACTACAACCTATATGATAATGTTCTTCTTCACCGAATATCAGAATCATATGATAAGCCCTCTTCTAGAGACTCTCATCCATAAACCATATGATAAGCCCTTCTCTCATAAGATAGGTCGCTTTTCCATGCTCTCTGTTTTCCCTTAGACAATGCATTTTCCTTTTGTCATTGAACGCTCCACTCAGATTATAACATTAAGATGTGCTCTTAGTTTGAAGATGGGCAGTTACAAGTCACCACTTAACGAACGGCAAAAAGACAATTATTGATCCGATACAAATATACACGGACTTATAGATTCCCACGCCTAAAATCACAATTATTGATCTAAACGGACATCAAATCAGCTGTAATTTGATTATGACATATTTTCAACAGATCACGTGTCTGAACCAAACCAAGCTAACAATAGCTCAGGGAGAGACACACACCATGTCTCAATATAAACACAACACACATACACAAGCATTATCCAAGTCTTTCAAGCTAATCATTCCACTCAACCAAAAACAAATGGATTCAGAGATCGCCTTTGACTGCTCTCCAATGCTCATTATCTACAAAAGTGGTCGCATCGAGCGTCTCACGGGCGAAACCACCGTACCAGCCTCTTCAATCCCACAAAACGGCGTCATTTCCAAGGACGTTATTTACTCTCCCAACGAAAATCTCTCCGTCCGCATTTACCTCCCTGAAAAAGCCGTCAAGACCAGTGAGAAACTCCCTCTCCTCGTCTACTTCCACGGCGGAGGATTCATCATCGAAACCGCTTTCTCACCAACTTACCACACGTTCCTCACGACGGCTGTCTCTGCTTCCCACTGCGTAGCGGTGTCAGTTGATTACCGGCGTGCACCGGAGCATCCCATTCCGATCTCTTTCGATGACTCGTGGACGTCTCTCAAATGGGTATTCACCCACATCGCCGGATCAGGCTCCGAGAGTTGGTTAAACAAACACGCTGATTTTACCAAAGTGTTCCTCGCCGGAGACAGCACCGGCGGGACGATCACTCACCACATGACGATGAGAGCTGCCAAGGAGAAACTCAGTCCCGAGTTAAGGGACTCAGGAATCTTGGGGATCATCTTGGTACATCCTTTTTTCTGGTCAAAGACACCACTCGACGATAAAGAGACGAGGGATGTGACAAAGAGGTCCAAAGCTGAGGTGCTGTGGAAGATAGCGAGTCCTAACAGCAAAGACGGAGTGGATGATCCGTGGATCAACGTGGTTCAGTCAGAGTCTGTGGATATCTCCGGGTTGGGTTGCGAAAAGGTGTTGGTAATGGTGGCGGAGTTAGATATAGCGGTGAGGCAAGGTTTGGGTTACGCGGCGAAGCTTGAGAGGAGTGGTTGGAAAGGAGAAAAGGTTGAGGTGATTGAGACTCAAGGAGAAGGCCATGATTTTCATTTGAGGAATCCTGATTCGGACAAAGCTCATGAGCTCGTTAAGACATTCGCACGTTTTCTTAAAGGAGAGATGTAGTAATGTAAGTAGTCGCTGTGTTGTCTGTTCAGAGAGGATTTTCTCATTTCTCTGTAATGTTTGAAGACTGGATATGAATAAAACAAAACAAACAGAGAAGACAAACATTTGAAACAGAGCTTTGATTTAGTTGTTGTTATTCGGCACCTACTTTAGGAAAGTTTAGGGGTCCATTTTTTTTTTTCTTATATTCTAGTTTAGGAAACAAAATAAAAAGCTTCTAAATGAGGGAAGGAACCAGAAATCTCTGGAAAAGGAAAGCTTTCTGACGGCAACTCAAATGGATTTCTATAAGAGCATTTCCAATGTATTACTCCATTTTCTACTCTAAAATGGAGTAACTCCAAAATGCAGTTGAGTTTTACTCCAATGTATTACTCTATTTTCTACTCCAAAAAAATATTTCTAATATATTATGTTTTATATTATTTACTTTAAAATTAGTAATATCACCTTTCATTTATACTATTTGCAAAATAGTCCATTTTCAATTTATAGCATTTCTATTAAATACAATATTAACAACAATTAAATTTTTATTATATAAATAAAATTACTCAACAAAGTTTAAAAAAACATTTAGTACATTAAAAATTACATTACATAGCTTAAATACAATAATACATCAATTCTAAATTATTCATTAGAATTAGAATAATTTTCCCACCAATGATCAACTAATGCATTTTGAAATAAAAAATAAGCTTATTTATCTTTTCTTTTTCTGAAACGGAAAAGAAACTCTTGGAACCTCACATCCTTCAATTTCAACTTCTCTAGGTAGAACTTCTCTTTCAACTTCAATTGGCTCTTCGAGATCACAATCATCTTATATTATCATGTTATGTAAGAATTTAATAATATATTATCCAATTATTTTAATAATTTTAATGGATCCGGAAATGATTTATTGGGTTATTAAACAATTATCTTTGTTGTAAGTTTTATTTTATGTTATTTCTTTTGTATGGTGCTTATCTTTTATTTTCTATATGTATGATCTTTTATGTTTTATATTATATATATTTTGTTGCAGAACAGAGTTCATCATGTGGCTATTTATATAATTAAGAAACAATAACAGTAAATTTTATAATATATATAGTAAAATAATATTAATATACTTATTTATAATAATATTATTAAACAAGGCTATTTACATAATTAAGAAATATTAATAGTATATATATAATAAAATAATATTAACTTATTCATAATAATATTTTATTAAAAACGAGGCTGTTTATATAATTAAGAAATGTTAACAGTAAATTTATCATATATATAGTAAAATAATATTAATATACTTATTTATAATAATATTTTATTAAAAACTAAAAATATATTAATGTGGAGGACTATTTTATAAATAAAAAAGTTCAACTCCATTTTGGAGTAATGAGTTGGTTTACTCCATATTTGGAGTAATCATGTTTGTTACTCCATTTTGGAGTGAGTTTTGGAGTAGGGTTGGAGATAGGGATCTCCATTATTTTCATTTTTATTGAAGTCCAAACTTCTTTATTTTGGTTTATATCAGAAATTTAGAAAATTCACTCCTATCTTTTTTACTAGGGTTGGCCCGCCCTACGGGCGGGAAGTTTTAGTAAAAAATAGATTATTTATGGTTCATACTATCATAATGTATCATAATTAGTGTTTCATTTTCATCTTGCCTCACAATTTATATATAAGATTCATATTTGTTTAAGCTTTATAAGACTTTAAAAAGTTTTCTTTTGTTTTACTAATTCATTGGCTCTCCATCTTCAACTGGTTGGCTATAGCTACTTTCTAACTTGTTAGGCCTTAATGATATTCATGGAGTTATGAGAAATGATTATCCGAAGTAGGGTCGTTAAGATGATGATCTCGAGAGGATGTCGAAGTTTCTTCAATTTGTTTGATCATAACTTCACAATAAGCAAACAAATAGATGTTAAAATTCGTTTGTTATTTATACCGATTTGTAAAATGGGAGTGGAGTTAGAATTATACGTTTCACATTATAATCATTGAGGTGAAGAAATCTTTTTTTAGAGGCGAGTTCAACTTCCCACAGAGAAGTATCAAAGTTGCCAATTAGTTAGAGTAATAATTATGCTGCTTTTTGTTATGTTTGTTATGCATGGTGTCTTGTTAAAAAGAAAAGAAGTTACGTTACCAATAGTTTAGTAGTTGTTGTTTACGAAATTTACTTGCGTTAGAAGGATACGACCAGCGTGTATGTGAAGTCAGTCAGAGTCAGAGTAACTATAGAATCTTGTTTATGCAATTTGACGTTTTAACTTTTCGTCTTTGTAGATGTTGTAAGAGTAAACTATTTCTAATGATGAAATAATTGTGTTCCAACATGTAGTGTGAGTGATACTAATAATAATGTGAAAATGCATTTCATATAAAAAGTAGAGCAAATTGTTGTGATGATAATAAAAAAAAAAGTAAAGATAAACAAAATAAGAGAACATTGAAACTGATATTGTGATGATCACGGTAACCGATCATCAATCTCTTCGTAAGCTCTTAGTGCAAAGAACCAATTCATGAAGAAAATATATTTAAGGTGTTTCCTCCTCCTTTTCTGAGTTGTCCTCATCCTCATCACCATCCGAACCCATCTAAAACCAAATAAATAAAACATGCATCACATTTCAGAAATCAGCATAAAGATCATAGCTTTCAACAAATTAGGTGAGTCAAAGATATTCAGAACCAAAAAAAAACTATAACGTTGCACTACTAAAACAAAGTTAAAATCTACCTCATCAGAGTTAAAGAGTCAGATTTATCTTGTGATCATTCAGTTCAGTGGTTTTTGATTTCTCCATTCAAAATAAAAGAGTCAATTTAGAAGTTGTAACAAAGCTATAAAACAAACTTTAACACAATAACGTAAACCTACCATTTTGAAACTTATCCATGGTGATTTCATCTTCTGAATAAAAATCTGGAAAATTTGAACACAGACAAAAGATAAGCTTCCAGCCTCAACACAGATACAACCATCATAGTATAAAAACATTGAAACTTACCTAAGTTAACCTCACCTCTAAGACCACAGTTTGTTTCAAATTCTTAGAATAACGGAAACAGAACCTGTCTAGCCAGTCACATGGGATATATCAGTATAATCCTGGAGGGGAATCCAAGAAAAAAAAATCATGCATTAGCATCCAGTATACTGAGTTCAAGATCACATAAAGTTTTACTGCTGTTTGAGACGCTATCTTCTGCGCAGAGTTTGAGCCATAATAGCAGCAGTGCAAGATTAAAAAAAAGCAGCAACATGAGTGGTGCCTAATCCATAGGTGAACCTATTTGACCTCGTTAAATTCACCATACCACCACCCAAACAGCTTGAGAAGCAACAACTGTAATGACAAAAGGAAAAAATCAGATCACTTTTGATTGAAAAGTTGGTAAACAGAATAAGATTAGACTATTTATTTTCAACTTAAAGCAACCAACCTTTCTTCTCCTCTTTTGGGCTTGCAGAATGATTTTTGCAGTGAGTCAAAGGAGTTAAGACTGTTGCTAATGGCTGTGAATAAATTCCTCCTGTAACGTTCCGGGGAGATGAAACGGAGACAAAACGACACTAAGACAGCTCTATACAGGGAATCATCATCACGATTTGTCTCACAAATCACTGTCGTATACACCATCGTCTCTTTGGTTAGTAACAGAACAAAGAACACAATGAACCCTAACTAATAACGATGAACACAAATGAACACAGAGCAGTTAGCCATTTCACGAAGAATAAGTTTACTAAAAAAGATTTAGAAGATGGTTTTGAGACGTGGAAAGCTAACCTTTTTGTACCCCCAGACCACCGCCTCACAGAAGATAACTTCACATTGAATTATAGATCGTGGCTGGAGGAGTTAAGAAGATGTTTAATGTAAATCTGTAAGTGGCTTAAATTAGTTTCGTCTGATAGAAAAGGAGTTCAGAGGACGCGATCGAACACCTAAACGGAATCATCACACCGACTACATCATCTCAAGCTTTCGGACGGCGGAGAAGAAAGAACAATGGTGAACCCTAAAACCGGAGCACACGCGAGTTGAAAAGCTTACGTCACTGGCTATTGGGCTGGAACACATGATAAAACATAGAGCCCACACATAATACGACCCACTTGTTATTGTTTCCGCTGTAACGCAATGTTTGATTCAAAATTTACATATGATTGTTTTTATATGTATTTGAAATTTAAGAATTTTGAAATTTTTATATAATTATCTATACGTAGGATCAGAAACAATTTTAATTAGAAATGTAGATCAAATCTTAGAATTTAATGGATCTGTTTTCATATATCTTTTCACTTTTCAATGTTCGAGTGATGGAAAATAAATAGAGTGTTACTGGGCTTGATTGGTAGAGTATTAGCAAGTTTCCTAATGTTTTTTAAGAAGCAATTGGTAAAATATTTGCATTTAAAATATATAAAGTTTCAAAACTAATTTAATATAATTTATTTATCTGTCTAATAATATTAGAAAATTATATTTTTTACAAATTATTATTTTTTAAAATAATTTATAAAAAAATTAAGTTAATTTTTAAATTATTTTTAAAAACAATATTTTAAGTTTTACAAATACAAATAAATAATTTAAAATTAATTATGGTCATGATTTAACATAACCATAATGATTGAAAAATTAAAAAATTAAAAAAATTAAAAATTAACAAAATTAAAAATTAACTCAGTTTTATATCATGATTTAACAATTTAAAAATTAATTATGGTTATGAGAAGTTTACGTTCACGTGTCAGTCATATTTATCTTCCATTTTTCTCTTGCTATGTTTTTTTTATATTTTGGTTATTACTCGATATAAATATTTATTTTGAATTTTATTCTCATTTTGTTTGTTTTAGAAAATACTTAAGATTTAAAATAATTTGAGAGATACATACTTAGGTTAAGATATGCACTTTATGCACAATAAGTATTTTATATTTATTATTTATTTTATATTTTTCTGCATATTATAAATAATAAAATAATAAATATGTATTAAATAACTATGAAATCAGTTACTATTATGTAATAAATTGGCGTATGCATATAAATTAAAATATTACTCTTGTTTAT